TAAAATCTTACAATAGATTTTTTTTATTTTTATTTATTATTGGACCAATTTAATTTACAAATTTTAAAATATTCAAAATTTGGAATAGAAATTTTTTTTTTTTTTTTTTTTTAATTATTATATCCAAATTTTAATTAAATTTTTTTTTATTTTCTCTTTATTTTCTTTCTTTCTTTCTTTCTTTCTTTTGCTTTTTATTAAAAAAAAAATTCAAAAATTTATTTTCTTTTTCTTTCTTTCTTTCTTTCTTTCTTGATTTTTTTTTTTTTTTTAATTTTTCAATTTTGCTTTATTATTACAATTTAATTTGAGAAATTTTTCATTTTATTTTCTCTTTCTAAATTTTTTTTTCTTTTTTTTTTTATTTCTTTTTTTCTTTCTTTCTTTTTTTTTTTGCTTTTATTATTACCTTTTTAAATAATTCTTCCATTCATTAAAAAAATTTTTTCTTTCTTTTTTTTCTTTCTTTCTTATTAAAATTTTAATTTTATTATTATGTTTTATTTAATTCTTCCATTTTTTTTATTTTTCTCTTTCTTTCTTTCTTTCTTTCTTTTGCTTTATTAATACGTTTTAATTTTATTTTTTTCCTTTCATTTTTATTTTGAAACTTTCTTTTTTCTTTCTTTTTCTTTCTTTCTTTATTTTCTTTCATTTTTTTCTTCAATTTTTGCTTTATTATTTTTTTTATTTAATTAATTTTCTTTTTTTTTTATTTTCTTTTTTCTGATTTTCTTTCTTTTAAATCTTTTTCTTTTGCTTTATTATTATGTTTTTTTATATAATTATTTCATTCATTTTTTTTTTCTCTTTCTTTTTTTCTTTTCTTTCTTTTTTTTTAATTTCGTTTTTTAACAATTCTTCCATTTATTTTTTTTTTCTTTTTTTTTTTAGAAACTGAATTACATTTTTTTTCTTTCTTTCATTCTTTTTTTTTTTTTTTTTTCTTTCTTTCTTTCTTTCTTTTGCTTTATTATTACGTTTTTGAATATAAATTCCATTCTTTCATTTTTCTTTTCTTTCTTTCTTTCTTTCTTTTTCTTTCTTTCTTTCTTTCTTTTGCTTTATTATTACGTTTTATTTAATTCTTCCATTTATTTTTATTTTTTCTTTCTTTCTTTCTTTCTTTCTTTTGCTTTATTATTACGTTTTATTTAATTCTTCCATTTATTTTTATTTTCTCTTTCTTTCTTTCTTTCTTTCTTTTTTCTTTCTTTCTTTCTTTCTTTTGCTTTATTATTACGTTTTATTTAATTCTTCCATTTATTTTTATTTTCTCTTTCTTTCTTTTTTTTTCTTTCTTTCCTTCTTTCTTTCTTTTGTATTATTAATACGTTTTATTTAAATTTTCTCTTCTTTTCTTTCTTTCTTTCTTTCTTTCTTTCTTTCTTTTGAATTATTATTACGTTTTATTTAAATCTTCCCTTCATTTTTATTTTCTCTTTCTTTCTTTCTTTCTTTCTTTCTTTCTTTCTTTCTTTCTTTCTTTCTTTTGAATTATTATTACGTTTTATTTAATTTCCCTTCATTTTTATTTTCTCTTTCTTTCTTTCTTTCTTTCTTTCTTTTTCTTTTCTTTCTTTCTTTTTTTTAATTCTTATTTTTTTTTATTTTCTTCCTTTTTTTTATTTTTTCTTTCTTTCTTTCTTTCTTTCTTTCTTTTGCTTTATTATTACGTTTTATATAATTCTTCCATTCATTTTTATTTTCACTTTCTTTCTTTTTTGTTTCTTTCTTTCCTTCTTTCTTTCTTTTGTATTATTAATACGTTTTATTTAAATCTTCTCTTCTTTTCTTTCTTTCTTTCTTTCTTTCTTTCTTTCTTTCTTTCTTTTGAATTATTATTACGTTTTATTTTTTCTTCCATTTCATTTTTTTTTTCTTTCTTTCTTTCTTTCTTTTTTTTTTTTTCTTTTTTATTTTTTTTTATATTCTTTCTTTCCATTTTTTTTTTTTTTTTTTCTTTCTTTTTTTTTTTTTTTCTTTCCTTTTTTTCTTTTCTTTCTTTATTTTACGTTTTTATTTGTTTCTTCTTCTTTCTTTCTTTCTTTTTTCTTTCTTTCTTTCTTTCTTTCTTTCTTTTTTTTTTATTATTACGTTTTTTTTTAAATCTTCCATTTCATTTTATTTTCTCTTTCTTTCTTTTTTTTTTTTTTCTCTTTCTTTTACTTTTTTTATTTAATTTTTTCTTTGATTAGCAAAGGATTTTTTTTTTTTTTTCTTTTTTCTTTCCTTCTTTTTTTTCTTTTGTATTATTAATTTTTTTTAATAAATTTTTCTTCTTTCTTTTTTTCTTTTTTCTTTTTTTTTTTTTTCTTTTTTTTCTTTCTTTTTTCGTTTTATTTCTTTTTTCCTTTCATTTTTTCTTTTGATTTTCTTTTTTCTTTTTTTGTCTTTCTTTCTTTTTTTCTTTCTTTTCTTTTGAATTATTTTTAAATTTTATTCCAATCTTTTCTTTATTTTTTTTTTTTTTTTTCTTTCTTTCTTTTTTCTTTTTTATTTCTTTTCTTTTTTTTTTTTTTTTTACTTTTTTTATAATTCTTCGTTTTTCAATTTCTAAAATTTTTTTCACTTTTTTTTCTTTTTTCTTTTTTTCTTTCTTTCTTTTTTTTTTTGTTTTTTTAATTGTTTTTTTAAATCTTCTCTTTCTTTTCTTTTTCTTCTTTCTTTCTTTCTTTCTTTTTTTTGAATTATTATTCAAATTTTTATTTAAATCTTCCATTCATTTTTATTTTTTTTTTCTTTCTTTTTTTTCTTTCTTTCTTTCTTTTTTTTTTTTATTTATTTGGTTTTTTTATAATTCTTCCATTCATTTTATTTTTCTCTTTGTTCTATTTTTCTTTTTCTTTCTTTTTCTTTCTTTCTTTTTTCTTTATTATTATTACGTTTTATTTAAATTTTCTTTTTTTTTTTTTTTTTCTTTCTTTCTTTCTTTCCTTTCTAACATTTCTTTCTTTTCTTTTTTGTTTATTTCTTTATTTAAATCTTTCCTTTCTTTTTTTTTTTCATATTAAAAAAATATTTCTTTTTAATTTGGCAATGGTTTAATTAACCATTTACCATATCTTTTTTTCTTTTGTTTTAATTATTATCACCTTTTTTTTTAAATCTTCCCTTAATTTTTTTTTCTTTCTTTTTCTTTCTTTCTTTCTTTCTTTTTTTATTTTTTTTTGTTTGCTTTTCATCCTGCTTTTAAGATTACCTTTTATTTTAAATCTTCCCTTCAGGAATTTTTTCATCTTTCTTTCTTCGTTTTATTAATTTTTTTCCCCATTTTTTCTAATATTTTTTTTTTTTCTTTTATTTTCATTTTCACCTTTTATTTTAAAATTTATTTCATATTCTTTTTTTTTTTCCAGAAATTTTAATATTTTTTTAATCAATTTTTATATTCTTCTTTTAGCAATCCTTTGAAGAAAGTAGAGCTGAACGGTGAATGACTAGAGATAAAAAATTGGTTTTTTTTTTTTTTTTGAACTTTCTATTCCAATAAAAATTTTTTTCTAAATTCTTTTTGAGATTTGAAATTTCTCTCCACTATTTATTTTTTTTTTATTTATTTTTTTCTCTTTCAAACCTTTTCCTTTAATTTGTTTATTCAAAATGTCGAACTTATATTCTCCAAAGTTTTTTGAACAATAATAAAGAACAAATATTTCATTTGAAATTTCAATGATGGCGTTCAAATTTCTAAGATGGCGTTCAAATTTCAATGATGTCGTTCAAATTTCTAAGATGGCGTTCAAATTTCTATGATGGCGTTCAAATTTTATTCATGTTATTCTTATTTTTGCGTTTTCATATATGGAACAATTTTCTTTTGTTTTTGTTTCCTAATGTCCAATTTATTTTTCATTCTTAAGTCTTTTCTTTTACAAAAATTTTTCCATTTTTTTTTTCATTTGGCTTTCTCTCTTTCTCTCTCTATTCCAACTATATTTATATATATATATATATATATGAATATATATATAATATTTATTTTTTTCCCAATTTTATTGTTTTTCTTTTTTTACTTTTTTTTTTTTTTCAAAATTTTCCAGTTTATATTCTGACTGTCTTTGAAATCTTTTCAAAATTTTTATCTCTTTTTCTTTATCTTCCTTTTTAATTTATATTTTTTAACATTTTTTTTTATTTTTCTTCTTATTTCAATTATACCTTTTCTATTTTATTTTATTTACATATCTTTTCTTTGAAAAGTTGTGGTGTTCCTTTTTTTTTTTTTAATTTCTATTCAGTCTTTATATTTCCAATAAAAATAAATATAATCCTGAAATTTTATTCTTTATTTCTTTTCTTTAATTGGGTGTCCTTTCTTTCTACTTTTTTTAAAATTTTCATTAATGACCTTCCTGATGGCATTTTTTAAACTTTTATCCATAATTTGGCAATTTTTTACTTCCTGTCTTCCAAAACATGATCAGTTTGATAAAATCAAAATGGCTGCTATTTCTAAAACCACTGAAGCAATTTTATTAACTATTTATTTCTAATTTTAATTTTCTCTATTAATCATTCTTAGACCCTTCTTTGTCTTCTTTTTATCTTTTATCCGGGTTCTTTGGGCAGACATGAAGTGGAAAGACTGTCTTTGAATTCCATTGCTTTCTTTCATTTCCTTCTAATTAATTAATTTTCCAATTCTTACGTCTTGTCATTGGTTGTGACCATATATTTCTATCTTTGCAATTTTCCTTCGTTCTTTCTATCTATCTTTTTCTTTCTTTTATTTCATATTATTCAACCTTTAATTTAAATATTCCCTTTATATTTATTCTTTCTTTGCTTCTTTCATTCTTTCTTCCTTTCTTTCTTTCCTTCTTTCTTTCTTTTATAACATTTTATTTCGTCTTTCCTTTAATTTTATTTCTTTTTTTCTTTTTTAATTTATTTTTTATTTCTTTCTACCACCATTTCTTTATTTTCATTTTATTTAGCCTTTAATTTAAATCCTCCCTTTATATTTATTCTTTGTTTGCTTCTTTCTTTCATTCTTTATGTCTTTCATTCTTTCTTTTTTTCTTCCTTTCTTTCTTTCTTTTATTTCATTTTATTTAGCCTTTAATTTAAATCCTCCCTTTATATTTATTCTTTGTTTTTTCTTTCTTTCTCCCAAGTCTTTTTTCTTAGATTCTTTCTTTTTCTTCCTTTCTTTTTAGGAATTTCTTTCTTTCTTTTTTAAATTTTATTCCAACTTTATATTTCTAATGTCTTTGACTGAATTCTTTTTTTTCTTATTTATTTCATTTTTTTTTTCTTTCATTCTTTCATTTTTCTTAGATTTCTTTTTTCTTTTCTTTTTTTTATTCCTTTCAATTTTTGAACAGCCTTTAATTTTATCATTTTTTTTTATATTTAGGAATTGTTTTCTTTTTCTTTCAAACTTTCTATTCCAATTCTATATTTTTAATGTCTCTTTCTGAACCTTGAAATTTTTATTCATTATTTATTTTTTTTTTTTTTTTTCCTCCAATTTTAGTTTAAATATTTTTATTTATTCTCCAGTTTGCTTATTTCTTTCATTTCTTTTGTTTTTTTTATTCATTTTATTTTTTTTTTTCCTTTTTAGGAATTTCTTTTTTTTTCTTTCTTTATTTTTTATATTTCATTTTTTTAGCCTTTTTTGAAATTTTCTTTGTATTTATTTTTTTTATTTTTTTTTTTTTCAAATTCTTTAGTATTTAGATATTTTTTTTTTTTTCTTTTTCTTATTTCTCCCTTTCTTTTGATTTCATTTTATAGAGGATTATTCCTTCCTTTATGTTTATTCTTGGTTTTGGTTTTTTTCTTCTATTCCAACTCTTTCCATTCTAATTTTTTCTTTCTTTCTTGAAATTTTTTTCACTATTTATTTCATTTTATTTTTTTTTCTTCCAAACATAATTTAAATCCTTTTTATATATTTATATTCTTTGTTTCTTTTGAACATTCTTATTTCTTTTATCCCTTTTTTTTTTTTTAGGAATTTCTTTTTTTTTATTTCTTTCTTTCCTTTTTTATTTTTTAATGTTCTTGACTGAACACTGAAATTTTATTCTTTATTTATTTTTTTTTTTTTTTTTTTTTTCTTTCAAACAAGTATTTAGATTTTATTTTTTTTTTTCTCCCTTTTTATCTTTCTTTCATTTCTTTTATTTCATTTTATTTTTTTATTTCATTTTATTTTTTCTCCTTTATAATTGGTTCTTTGGTTTTTTTTTCAGTTTCTATTTCCAAGTCTTTATTTCATTTTTCTCTTTTTTTCTGTTTTAGAAATTTTTCTTTTTTCTTTATTTTCTATTCCAATTTTTTTTTTCTCCTTGAAATTGGAAATTTTATTATTTTATATTTATTTTTTTTTTGCTTCTTTCTTTTTTAGTAGTAGATTCTTTCATTCTTTCTTTTTTCTCCCTTTTTTTCTTTTCCTTTCTTTTTTTTTTTTTAGGAATTTAGCATTTTTTTTAAATTTATTCCAATTTCTTTTTTTTTTTTTTTCTTTCTTTCTTTGACTTTGAGTTTTTTTTTTTTTTTTTTTTTCCTTTTATTTTTATTTCATTTTATTTTTTTTTTCCAATTTCCATTTTAGTAGATTTATTCTTTGCTTTATTTGTTTCTTTTCTTTATTTCTTTGGTTTTTTTTTCTTTTTTTCTTTTTTTTTTTCTTTCTTTCTTTCTTTTTAGGAATTTTTATTGGTTTTTTAATTTCTATTCCAACTCTATATTTTTAATGTCTTCTGACTGAACATTGAAATTTTATTCATTATTTATTTTATTTTATTTTTTTTTTTTTCATAGTAGTAGATTTTTTTCATTTTATTTCATTTTTTATATTCCTCCCAAGTTTTTTGAACAGGCATAGAGGTTTATTTCTTTCTTTTTGTTTAGGAATTGGTTTTTTCTTTTTAAAGTTTATTTTTTTTTCTTTATTTCTAATGTCTTTGACTGAACACTGAAATTTTTATTCATTTATTTATTTCATTTTTTTTTTTTCCTAATTCTTTAGTTTTAGATATTTTTTTTAATGTCCAGTTTATATTTCTCCCTTTCTTTTGAACATTTTATTTAGGATTTTTTTCTGTTTAGGAATATTTATTCTTTGGTTCTTTTTAAATTCTTTATTGTTTTTATTCTTTCTTTTGTTTCTGACTTTGAACACTTTCTTTTTTTTCACTATTTATTTCATTTATTTTCTCTCCTCCAAACATAGTATTTTTATTTTTTCTGTCTTTGTTCAGTTTATATTCTTTCATTTGAATTTTTGAACAGGCATAGAAATTTTTATTTCTTTTTTGTTTAGGAATTGGTTCCTGGTTCTTTTTAAATCTTTTTTGTTTCTATATTTCTTTCATTCTTTATGTCTTTTTCATTCTTTTTTTTCTTTATTTATTTCATTTTATTTTTTTCTTTCTCCAAACATATTTTATTTAGCTTTTAATTTAAATGTCCAGTTTATATTTATTCTTCTTTTGAACAGGAATCTTTCAAGGATTATTTTTGTTTAGGAATTGGTTTTTTTTTTTTTAAAGTCTATTCCAACTTTATTTTATTTAATTTTTTTGACTGAACTTGAATTTTTTTAAATTCACTTTTTATTTATTTTTTTTTTTTTTTCTTTCTTTCATTCATATGTTTTTTCTTTGTTTGTTTTTTATTCCTTTCTTTTTGAACTTTCTTTCTTTTATCCCTTTCTTTGTTTAGGATTTGGTTTGGTTGTTTTTTAATTTAAATTCCAACTTTATATTTCTAATTTCTTTGACTGAACTTTGAAATTTTATTCACTATTTATTTCATTTTATTTTTTTTTCTTTCTTTTCCTTCTTTCTTAGATTGTTTTCTTTAATTCCAGTTTATATTTTTTTTTTTTTTGAACTTCATTTTATTTATTTTTTGTTTTCTGTTTTTTTTCTTTCTTTTTTCTTTCTATTCTTTCTCTATATTTCTAATTTTTTGACTTTTTTCTTCCTTTTTATTTTACTATTTATTTCATTTTTTTTTTTTTTTTCCTTTAAATCCTCCTTAGTATTTATTATTTTTTCTTCTGTCCAGTTTATATTTCTTTCAAGTTTTTTTCTTTCTTTTAGAGGTTTATCTTTTCTTTCTTTTTAGGATTTTTTTCACCCTTTTTTTTTAAAGTCTATTCCATTCTTTATTTTTCTAATTTCTTTCTGAACACTTTCTTTTTTTATTTTTTATTTATTTCATTTTTTTTTTTCTTTCCTTTCATTCTTAGATTTGTTTTCTTTAATGTTCATTTTATATTCCTCCCAAGTCTTTTTGAACAGGCATAGAGGTTATTTATTGCTTGTTTTTTTTAGAATTGGTTCCATGGTTTTTTTCTTTCTATTCCAACTTTTTTTATTTCTTAATTTCTTTTTCTTTCTTTCTTTTGAAATTTTATTCACTTTTTATTTCATTTTATTTTTTCTCTCCTCCAAAATCATAGTAGTAGATATTTTGCCTTTTGTTTTTTTTATATTCCCAATTCTTTTTTTTCTTTCTTTTTTTTTTTTATCCTTTTTTCTTTTTAGGAATTTTTATTTGGTTTTTAATTTATTCCAATTCTATATTTCTAATGTCTTTGATTGAACATTGAAATTTTATTCACATTATTTATTTCATTTTATTTTTTTTTTCTCCAAACCATCTTTCTTTTATTTCATTTTTTTGCCTAATTGTCCAGTTTATATTCCTCCCAAGTCTTTTTTTTATTCTTTTTTTTTCTTTCTTTGTTTTCTTTTTTCTTTCTTTTTCTTTCTATTCCAACTTATTTCTTTCTTAATTTTATTGACTGAACACTGAAATTTTTATTCACTATTTATTTCATTTTTTTTTTTCTTTCCAACCATAGTAGTAGTCTTTTTTCTTGTCCAGTTTATTCTTTCTTTTTTTTTGAACAGGCATTTTCTTTTTTCTATTATTTTTTTTTTTCTGTTTAGGAATTGGTTCCTTTATATTTAAAGTTTTTCTTTCTTTCATTCTTTATTTCTAATGTCTTTCTTTTTAAACACTGAAATTTTATTCACTATTTATTTCATTTTATTTTTTTTTTAATTTAAACTTTAATAGTAGTAGATATTTTATTTTCTTTTTTTTTTATTCTTTTCAATTTTTTTATGTCTTTCATTTTTTCTTTTGAATTTGTTTCTTTGGTTTTTTTCTTTCTTTCTTTCCATTATATTTTTTAATGTCTTTAATTTAAACACTGAAATTTTAAATTTCTTTTATTTCATTTTATTTTTTTTTTTCTTTTTTTTCATTTATAGATTTCATTATTTCTTTTTATTCTTCCTTTCTTTGTTTTTTTTTTAGAGGTTTTCCTTTCTTTCTTTTTAGGAATTTTATTTGGTTCTTTTTAAAATCTATTTCAACTTTATTATTTTAATTTGTTTGACTTCTTTCTTGAAAATTTTATTATCTATTTATTTCTTTTTTTTTTTTCCTTTCCTTTCTTTAGTTTTATTTATTTTATTTATTGTTTAATTTTATTCCTCTTTCTTTTATTTTTTCTTAGTTTGTTTCTTTCTTTCTTTCTTTTTTTTTTTCATTCTTTTTTTTTCTTCTTTTCCAACCTTATTTCTTTGTTTCTTTCTTTCTTGAAATTTTATTCACTATTTTATTTAGCATTTTTTTTAAAAAAAATATTTATATATTTTTTCTTTGTTTGTTTCTTTCTTTTCATTTTTGAACAGGCATAGAGGTTTTTTTTTTTTTCTTTCATTTTTCTTTCTTTCTTTCTTTCTTTTTTTTCTTTCTTTCTTTCTATATTTAATTTCTTTGACTGAAATTGAAATTTTATTCTTTATTTATTTCTTTTTTATTTTTTTTTTCATTCTTTTATATCTTTCATTCTTTATGTTTTTTTAATGTCTTTTTTTTTCTTTTCCTCCCAAGTTTTTTGAACACTTTTAGATTTAAAATTTCCTTTTATGTTTAGGAATTGTTTCCTTCTTTTTCTTTCATTTCTTAATATATTTCTATTGTTTCTTTTTTTTTTTAAAAATTTTATTTTCTTTTATTTCATTTTATTTAGCCTTTCCTCCAAATCATAGTTTAGATATTTATTCTTTGTCCAGTTTTCTTTATTTTTCAATTCTTTTTGTCTTTCATTCTTTCTTTTTTTCTTCCTTTCTTTCTTTCTTTTAAAGGATTTTGGTTCTTGGTTCTTTTAAAGTCTATTCCTTCTTTATTTATTTCTAATGTTTGACTGAACACTTGAATTTTTTATTCTTTATTTATTTCATTTTTTTTTCTTCCTTTCAAACCTTCTTTAGTTTATTTCTTTCTTTCTTTTGTCCAGTTTTCATTTTCCCAAGTCTTTTTGAAATCCTCCCTTTATATTTATTCTTTGTTTGCTTCTTTCTTTCATTCTTTATGTCTTTCCTTCTTTCTTTTTTCTTCCTTTCTTTCCTTCTTTCTTTCTTTCTTTCTTTTATTTCATTTTATTTAGCCTTTAATTTAAATCCTCCCTTTATATTTATTCTTTGTTTGCTTCTTTCTTTCATTCTTTATGTCTTTCATTCTTTCTTTTTTCTTCCTTTCTTTCTTTCTTTCTTTCTTTCTTTCTTTCTTTCTTTCTTTCTTTTATTTCATTTTATTTAGCCTTTAATTTAAATCCCACCTTTATATTTATTCTTTGTTTGCTTCTTTCTTTCATTCTTTATGTCTTTCTTTCTTTCTTTTATAACATTTTAATTCGTCTTTCATTTAAATCTTCCCTTCATTTTTATTCTTTTTCTTTATTTTCTATTTCTCTGTTCAATTCATCTTCGTTTTATTTTTCCTTCTTTTTCTTTCTTATTTCTATTTTTCCATCTACTTTTTCACCTTCCATTTTGTTTTTTAAGCTATTTTTCCGTTCTTTCTTCTGTCCATTCCTTTCTTTCTATCTTTTGTATTATTTTTACCTTTATGTAATCTCGCCTTCCTTTTTTTTTTAATTTTCTCTTTCTTTCTTTTATCTTTCTTCCTTTTTTTCCCATTTTTTATCTTTTTATATTTTCTTCTACCATCCTTAACATTTCTTTTACATTTTTCACGAAGAAGACTGAAGTTTTCATATTCCTTTCATCTCAATCGATTTTCTATTTTTCTTGGATAAGCAATCGATTGAGATGAATCTACTGAAAGGTGAGTGGAGTTTACAAAAAATGGGGGTGTTGTAACTCAACCGGAACCTCGAAGTTTAGAACGATAGAAATTATTAATATTCATCACATACATTCACATTAACCTGAAGAATTCGTTAGCCACCGTGTGTACGCAATGAAATCTATCACTACTCAAACACACAATTAAGCTCGGGCCGAGTTCAGTGTCGCTGCCGATACCTGAGTTTGAACATAGTTCGCCAATGAGGAAACACAGGCGATTCCATTATTGAATTAGACCACGTGACCATAGAGGAAATGCATAAGAGAAAAATCTAGAAACGTTTTTCAGCTCCTAACAGAAAAGTAAAAAGTCGATAAACGCCTTTCAATACCTAATACTTGCCATGATTGTGGAGGTAAGCATTTTAGAAGTGATTGTTTTTCAAGAACAAAAAATGTTATGAATGTGGGGATTTAGGACACAAAAGTATGTGTTGCAGATACAAAAAACATAGAAAAAATAAAACGTATGTAAACATGATACGTCTTATTTTTTTCTACACGGAGTAACGGTAAGAAGCCTAAATGGGTAATTAACATGACATCTCAAAAGAGGAAATTTGTTTTTGTGCAAATTAATGATGTAAAAATAAAATTGCAACTAGATACAGGATCTGATATCACAATCATAAATGAACAGAGAAATGGCTAAACCCAGTTTATTAACTTCTGATAAAGTGGCGTATGGAGTCTCAGGAAAGAGATTGAACTTTTTAGGTGAATTTAGCTGTAACGTTTCTTTTGTGGGAAAAAAACAAAAAATGCGGTGGTGTTTGTATTAAATAATAATACTGCTAATTTGTTTGGAACAGATTGGATTGTCTTATTTGATCTTTGGGACCTTCTAATTAAATGTCGTTACCCCCGATACTAATACGGCAACTGAAAAATATTAATTGAACTGAAAAAGTGTTTAACAGAAGTTTTCTCAGAAGGTCTAGGGACATGCATGAAAGCAAAAGCTAAGTTAAAACACCGATATTTAAGCCAAAAAGGAGTGTACTTTTTGTGCCTTAGATCCAATTAATAATGAATTGGACAGACTAGAAAAATTAGGTGTGATATCAAAAATAGACCACTCCGAATGGGAATCACCAACAGTCTACGTTAAAAAAAAAAAAAGAAATAATAAAATACGCGTATGTGCTGATTTTTCAACGGGATTAAATGACAGTTTAAAGCAACATAATCACCCGTCACCAGAGGAAATTTTTGCCAAACTGAATGAAGTAATTTTTTTTTCTAAATTGGACCTGTCAAATGCTTATCTACAAGTACTAGTAGACGAAGAGTGCACAAAATTATTAATAAAACACTCATAGAGGGTTATACAAATTCAACCGACTTCCTTTCGGTATAAAGGTAGCACCAAGTATATTCCAACAGATAATGGATACCATGCTTGCCGTTTTGGATTGTGCTCAAGCATATTTGGATGACGTACTTATTAAAAGTAAGACCTGAAAGCAACATATGGAAGATGCAAAGAAAGTATTTGAAAGAATCAAAGAATATGGTTTTAAGAATAGTGAAGGAAAATGCGAATTATGTCCAGACATAAATATCCAGGACAAATTATCGACAAAAACGGTAGACTACCGGATTTTCCAAGGTCGAACACAATAAAGGACATACCCGCTCCAACAAATGTAACAAAGTTACAAGCATGCACGAATTGAGAGAACCCTTGTATAACCTGCTAAAGAAATATGTGAAATGGAATTGGACAGATGCCAAATTTCGAAGAGATCAAGAAAGTCTTAACATCGGATTTATCACTAGCTCATTTGGACCCTAAATTAAAGATTGTTGTTGCGTCAGATGCAAGGGATTGGGGTATCGGGGCAGTGATACTACAAAAATATGAGGACGGAACAACTAAACCAATTGCTCATGCTTCAAGATTATTCATTACAGCTGAATAAAGCTACAGCCAGATAGAAAAGGAAGCATTGACAATCGTATTTGCGATGAAAAATTTCATAAATTCATCTATGGTAGAGAATTCATACTACAGACAGACCATCTTCCATTATTGTCCAAATATGGGTAAAAAAGAGAATTCTCACATAGAGAAAATAGACTGCAGCTCTGGCGGAACTATCCTATTGAACTATAATTATAAAATGGAGTTTCTACCATCCCAAAAGTCATGCAGACGGATTGTCTAGACTAATACCAAGATTCTGTAAACAACTTAAAGACACAGTATTTTCGGCGATAAGGGTCAAAAATGAAATTAATAATGTACTATACAATGCCTTAAGAGAACTGCCTATAACATTGCAGGAAATAAAAATTAAGTCGAAAAAGATGGCTTTATAATGAAAAATGAAGCAATTAAGATTTAAAGGAATAAATATTACTGTAAATAATGTGATAATGTACTTATGTACGCAGAAAGAATTGTGATACTAGCATCATTGCAAAAACGTATGTTAAAGGAATTTCACATAGGATATCCAGGAATTTCTAGAAGGAAATCCTTAATGAGGTGTTATACATACTGGCCCAAAATGGAGCAAGATATCGAAAATTTAGTGAAATCATGCAGAGGTTGTGCTCTGGCAGAGAAGTCACCGCCAATCAAAATTCAACCTTGGCTGAAAACTGATATGTCATGGTCCAGAATACGTATAGACTTCGTAGAACCGTTAAACGGTGCATACTATCTAGTGGTAGGTGATAGTTACATTAAATCGCCAGAAATATTAAAATGTAAAAGACCGACTACTGCGGTAACGATAAATTTCCTACACGAGATTTTTGCAAGGTTCAGTGTTCCTAACTCTATCGTTTCAGATAACGGGACTCAATTCATGTCTAGTGAAATTAAGATTTTTTTTTTCAAATCATTAGCAGTAGAACATATTACAACTCCCCCTTATCACCCAAGATCAAACGGACAAACCTGATGGCCATGTCTTACGGTCACAGCGAATTATTCGAAATATCGATCTTATGTCAAAAGATATTTGTCAACACTGACCAACAGATCTACTTAGGTGGACACTTTTTTGTTTCGGCTTTTGAGATCTTTTTTTATTTTTTTATTTTTGGAATCTATATTTTTTTTTTTTTTTTTTCATTCATATTTTGCATGAAGAAGCAACATGAAAAGTGATTCCTTTCTTCTCGTTCGGATCTGAAGCGTATAATCTTGAACTGATTGAGAGAAGATCACCTGGGGGATAAATAGAGGTTATTTAAAAAAAATAAGACAATCAGAAATTTGGTTTAAAATCACGGCGAAATGTATAACATAAATCAGACCTCAACCAGAAATATTTCGCTCATTATTGGCAATGGGGGGTCTTCGTTAGGCTAATCTCTTACTACTCCGTGGGAAAGTATTTTATTAAATTTAAAACAAAGGGGTAACTTCTCTCTCTCTCTCTCTCTCTCTCTTCTCTATATATATATATATATATATATATATATATATATATTATATATATAGGTATAGTGTAAGGTAATTGAAATAACTAGATATTAATTAGCAACCGTATATGCGCGTGCTGTTGTGCATACTCAGGTAAGCAAAAAATAATTACCAAATTTGGTTTGTTGGTGTACACATAATAGTGCTCGATGTGGTTAGACAGAGCTAAGAAATATATATTAGTAAATATACCTGTCTTTGGTGTGCGACTTAAGTTTCGTCCGTTACCCAACTCGTCGGGGTGTCTGAATAAAAAAAAACCTTTTTTATCTTTAGAATATATATATATATATATATCTTACCATAATGTAAGGTAAAGACACTTTTAAACATAAAAAGTAAATTTAATAAATAAATTCTGGGACCTTGTCCATTTTTCTTAATATATATATATATATATATATATCTGGAAACTGATTCATTGTTAAAAAATTAAAAAAAAAAAAAATAGTACAAACGCAATACTGGGGTTTAAGTCCAGAAAATGGGGTGCAGGTGTGAGTTATTAGGAAAAAAAAGGAAATTTATCACGGTTCGATGTAGGATACACATTCGATTCCTGTCGGGAGGCAAAATTTTCTGCGAAATTTCTCGAACATTCAGGCTGGTAAATGTAATTAATACTGTTTTATTATAAACACATTATTTCCTTAAATAATTATATCTATAAAAATAGCGTATCTTAATTATAGGATTGATTGATTGGTTTTTACGGCTTATGTTACCTTTGCAAAATCAGAAAATATCTTTACACTGTTAGAATATTTGTTTTGAGATAATAATGATTTAGTGATGCATGTCTTACTCATTAACCCATAGATAAGGGGAAAAGCCGTGGATTCAGTCCTTCCCCAA